GGGACAGTTAAATATGTTCTGAACAACAGCTTTTTTCCTTATTTTAATTTTTTTTTTTAATGTAGATGTTTTTTACGTCCCCAACAACACAATTTGGATCATTTAGGATGTAGGTCTAGGACCCTGTCTGACAGGGCCAACTCGGGCTGAGAGGGATGGAACATTCAAGCAGAAAGACCTGTCCCCGTCATGTTATGCAAGAAAAATTCTGAAATTATGCAAACTGAGCCCAAAAATGTGAAATTATGCGATTCTGTTGATTTTAACAAAGAATGATAAAGGAAAATTACCAGAAATTATGCCCCAAAAATGATCAAATTTTGCAAAATTATGCGGGGTGCATAAAACCACGAGGACAGAAAGACTTAAGATACTCTATGAAATTTTATCCCAAATCGGGAATCAAACTAGGGTTTCCAGCCTGCCACAGGGAAGCACCTCACCACTGCTCCCCAACACACACCGTTTTTATTTTCTGAGATTAGTGCGCTCGTCTCCCGAAGCGGAAAGTCCGGGTTCGAGTCTTGGTTCAGACACTGATGTTTTTTTTCGCCCCCTCCTGCCCACCCAGCAGTAATGGGTACCTGACTTTGAGTTAGGGAAGTACTGTAAAGGCGACGTGGAAAGGAACTGGCCACCCTACCACAATATGCCGAAGACCCAGGAAGTTGTCTCACTAACAAGGCAATCCCTAATGTCCGGATCGGATGCGGGAACAACTTTACTTTTTTTACTTATGAAACACTTGCACTTCGTAGATGAGTACAAAAAGCATCTTTTGCATGCATTATTTCCACACACATAACACAAATGAAATGTGCTTTATAATAAAATTATAAGTTCCATCATGTCATTTTTGTACTCTTGTGAAAATTAGCGTAGTAGATCTACTTTAATTTTCCATAAAAAGGCAGTTTTCTAATGTTTTTGATCGATGTGTTCTGTCAACAGGTGCCTTCAGACAATGGTCCTGGTGCTCTCGATATGGTCAACGAAATCATTGAAGATAGCTAAATGAGCGGGTCAGTGATCAAGACGAGTCTGTCAGTGGCCAAATGTCAGAGGATTGACCTCGCTATATATAAGTCTGTCCGTCATTTACAACGTACATGTATTTAGTTCTTGAGTAAACACCGTCTACTAATACGAAAAATGAAACCACTGCTGTGTCTGTTTTACTTTCTTTGTATTTTTTGTTCTTTTTAAATGTAGGGTGCTTTATACCCCCAATGCCACAGTCGAGATCATTTGGTCGCTTCTTATAAGGACAAGTGGGCTAACCCAGATTTCGGCGACTTCCAGAAATTTTGACCTACACCAAAAGTGGGCATTGCCCTACAATACCGATAGGAGAAGTTTGGTATCATTGGTGTATATATATATATATATATATATATATATATATATATATATATATATGTATATATATTTGCTTGGTTATAGAAAAAGACTCTCCTTGTCTTTTAAAGAAACTAAATTAGGGGCAAAAACTTTATCGATTTTCTCAAAACAGCATTTTTCGGGATAGCCCCTTTGTGCCTAAAGTCGACCATTTAAGAGGTGGGTTTTGACCCTGCTTATCATTATCAGGGAGAATCAAACTCGAGTCTTCTGCTTGCAATGGTCAAGCGCCTAACTGTGATACTTACTTTGTGAATGGTTCATAGATTGCAAGTATTGCAAGCATGTTTGTATAAAGACCAAGGACCATGCTTTAGTTTAGTTTTAGTTTGACAAGCTAACTGCTAAACTGTCTCCTCAGAAGATGAGAATTAAAAGTCAAGATTTAGCTGAGCAAGCTCTAGTGAAATTCAGTAAAAGTTCAGACATAGCTAGAAGTCTGTAAGAGACTTGAAACAAGTCAAGCAGAAACTCTTGAGCATTCACTTACACAGACACAGACACACGCACACACATACACTTATACACATTTATCTAGAGACAAACTGAGAGGGAAACAATAACCCAAAAGGCAAGCAAAATTTTAAAAATAAAAGTTTTATTTCAGCTGCAACTGCAAAAAACAATTATAAATAAAATATTTTTGAAAACAAACTAGAATATTCCCAATAGCACAGCGCGTAACACCCAGTCCAAAGAGAAAAACTCTTTGTTTAAAATAAAGTCAATGGCACGAACAAACAAACAAGTCACACCTAAACCGAGGGGAAGTACTTTTTGTATCTGAGTAAAAATGCTAAATTAAGAGGAAGGCACCTTAGAAAATCAGCAAAACCTGCTCTTGTTTTGTAGCACAAACTTCAGAATAAATGTTCCAGTTTAAAACAAAACAGTCCTTTCTATTGTTTCGGGTTACCAGATACAAAGAAACTCTATTTCTTCGTACTTTCTAGCACCATCCACAAACGAAGTAGAATAGAGTATACCCATTGATCGTACATAACAAGATGGTTCACTCATTTCTTTGAGCCAATTAAAAATGTGTCCTCAAAATTCGGTGGCGCCCTCTTCGCAAATGAGAGGACTTTGCAAACAGAGTTACCCTACTTGTGTGGAAAAAATCAAAGTGAAACTAACAAGTTTTTGAATAAATTAGAATTCAATTTTCGGAAGAACGCTTTTTTAAAATGGTTACGCTGACAAAAAACGGCGAGAGGTCATTGAAATAAAAAAAACAACTAAAAATCCTAACTGAATGAACCAGAACAGCTGATGAACAGCAGTCGATCTGCACACGCAAGGAGGTGCAATTTCTATTCTTCTTCAGGAGAAACGAAAGAGAGCTTCAAAACAAAGACTGCAGCGCCATCTGAGGCAATGAGCGGACTTTCGCGGACACTCTTTTGGCTGAGTGGACCATCTTGTTATGTATGATCTTTGATAGAGTATACCTAAAAAATTGATAAAATCCTGCAAACCGTATCGCAGATAGTGACAAAGACAATGAAAAACTTCAATGAAATATAAAAACAACGGAAAGAAACATCTGTAAATTCAGAGAGGACAAAAATGAACACCAGCAAAACTGATGAAACAAAAGTCTACGCAACTAATATGTCAAATGTGAGGCTGCGTGGTGGAATCAGGCTCTCGTCAAAATAATCAAAATGAACAAACTTGCATTTTTCCGCAGGTTTGTGAATTTTTATTAATTTTTTGTTTTTTGGCTCAACACCTTTCATGCCCATTAAAGAACTCATTTCTGTGTGGATTTTTCTGAAAAACGATTAAAGACACAGAAAATGTAAATTTTTAGTTACCACAGACTCTTAAGCTAAGTAAATAACTAATCTTTAGTGGCCATTTTCTCACTAATTTTACTTCTGAAAACAGGCAACCCCACCTCCTTCATTCGCAAATATTTCGACTTGTATTCGAGATAAATGGATATTTTTTTTCATTTAAATAAAGACAAGTGAACAAGGTATAAGATGGTACTAATACCTCTACATGCCCAAAAATTGACGAGAGCCTGATTCCTCCACGCTGCCTCACAAATACTAGCACTTGTACAAAGCAAGGTAAGAATATTACATACAACTGTGTAACATATTCATGGAAGGGTAACAATACCAAAGCATTTTTTCCCAACAAGATAAATATAAACTTCTGGCAAACTTCCAGTTCAAATATAATTAGAACAGAAGTGAGCCTCTATGTCATGTCATTTGTGTGGCATCGTAGATAGTAGTAAAATCAGACGCTCATCAAAATGATGAAATTGAAGATTTCAACATTTCATCTTATGTTTGGCAATTTATAATCATTTATCTATTTTAGTTCTTATGTCCAGTTAATGGCACATTCATGAGTGGATTTTTCAGAAAAACGTTGATCAAAGGTACAAAGATTGTAAATTTGCAGGTTCCAAAGACACTCGAGCTTTGAAACTCATCAAACTATCGCAGCCATTTTCTCCCTTATTATATATACCTCTGGCATCAGGCAAACCCCCACCTCCTTCATTTGGAAATATCTCAATTTCTATTCACTCATCAAAAGAAAGACAAATGAACAAGTTGTAAGATTACACCAGTAACTCCATACGCCCAAAGATTGACGAACGCCTGACTCCACAGTGTCCTGGTGCATTTATCTTTTTAACATGGATACATACATAATATATAGAAACACACATCAGATACTTAAATAATCAATAAAAATATTAAGCTTGCACCATTTCGTTTGTGTAGAATATTAATGTAGAAGGCAGCTACAAAAATATTGCTGTATGATTGTCGGATTTTAATTCTAGGTTTGTGCAATCTTCTTTCGAAAAAAAAAAAAATCCCAGGAAAAAAAAAATGTTTCGAGAATGAAAATTTTCCTGCACACAGATCAGAAATCAGTGGTGCTACAATGATAGCTTTGAAAAATGTAAAAAGTTACAACAGTTACATCTCAATTTGAATTCAGCTTAACCTAAAAAAAAACCCAGCGTAGGACCCCCCCCCCCCCAAACCCCCCCCCACAACAAACAACCAAAAACGATAAGGATGCAACCAACTAAACTCTATAGCGTCTATTTATTAAGTACAGACATTGAAAGAGCAGGAAAAGCATACTTTTCCAGTAGGAAACATCAATGCAGAAAATAAAAGTCGAAAGCAGACACAACCACACAGCATACGTACATAACCATCTCTGGTCAGTTCGGTCTTGTTGCTGGACACAGACCATTGTAAGTTGAAGTCCGTCAGGAAAGAATAACGAACGGGTCCAAATTAAGAAATGACTGAAAGCCAGTGGACAGGCGATGTGTGATTTTAACTCTTTAAACTCTGAGTTTTTTCCATGGTTTCCTGGAGGTTTTTCTACAGTCACCTAAACCTGGTGCACTATTTTCTCATTATAACCCCAAAAGCTTGCCTCCAACTTCTAAATAAAAGCTTAGTGATTACTAAAAAGACTTGGACCGGGAATAGTTCTGAAAAACAAGCTAAAACTAGCACTAAATGAAACGAAATAGTTGTCACTGGTACTGGAAGCTATCAGTGTACGATAGGGAACAGGGTTATTACCACCAGATGTTCCCAGCCTCCGATGGGGTTTAAAGAGTTAAATTTTCTTGGTGTAAGAAAAGTATGAGAAAAAGATATATATATATATAATATATAGAACGACAGCATGTGAACTTTTACCATCAAAGTTTCAAAGGCTTTGCTGAACTCCTCCTCGTATATCCTATCTCACGTGAAAAGAAAATCTCAATCAAAAGTACCCTCAACGAATTACACCGAGACCATGCGTTTTTAACACTTTGCCGTCACATCTCGCCAATCGGCGATATTTACCACCCAGTTTCTTTGGATTTTCCCCAAAATGCCTTAGCCTCTCACAGCAAGGGTTTTTACTATAATCCTTGTAAAGGCAAAATGTTCAAGTTAAAGAAAACAAAACATTTTCTTTTGTAGTTGTCATCAATCCAGCAACAGCTGAGCCCTCACCATTCTGTCCAATACCATGTAGTGATAAGTGCAAGTTTGCTGTAACATTGCACAGAGTGTGATGTCAATGTTAGGTCTTGGAAGGAGATGTGTTGGCTACACATTTTCTTCTAAGTACATCCATTTCATAAAGTGCTGTAAAAAAGAGACATACTGGAAGCTACACATTTTCTTCTAAGTACATCCATTTCATAAAGTGCAGTCAAAAAGAGACATAATGGAATGTCAAAGTATTTAAAACACAAAGAATTATAACAAAAAAGTTAATGAAAGGCGTCAGCAACAATCATAAAAAAAACCAACAATAAAAGTAACACTCAGCTTAGATGCAATTCAGAATTCCTTTCCTGTATAAAACGTTAAATATTATGGCTTGTTCACTGAGCTTCTAAGATTCATCAACACAGTAATTCTCTAACTAAGGAGCAAGATAAACAATCAAAGCATTTTTTTCCACTTTAAAAATGATTTCACATTTCACCCCCACCCCCCCCCAAAAAAAAACCAAACAAAAAACCAAAACAAACCAAAACAAAACAAACAACAATTTTTTTTAACAAAAGCATAAGAGGACACCAATGCCAATCCTTACAACAACAACAAAAAAAAGAAGAAAAGAAATATTTTTTGGGAAACCCCCCCCCCCCCCCTTTCTGCCACATACACACAAAAATTTCAATCAATTGCTAATCATTGTTAGTTTGAAGACCCATCCCCATTTACAGGGCAACTTATTGAATGGGATCTTAGGCAGCGCGATATCGATACCAGAGCCGGTGTGGTGGGCCCATTTGAACTCTCCTGAATATCCCAGCAGTGTGACCTTGGTGTCTGCGGTGGGGCTGGGTCGGCCCAAGGTCAGAACGCTGGTGGTGGGCCACGTCAGCAAAATGGCATAAACAGTCGTGTCCCTGCTGGCCGATGATTTGGATGTAAACCTGCAGAGACAGTTTGTTTAGTTTTAGTAGACGTTATACGGCGCTCGCAACTGCATAAGGTCATATGAGCGCCAGAAGATTAGACGTGTTACAAGAGAGTAACAAACATAAAAAAGAAGAAGGGGAGATAAGGACGATAGATGTTTGATAGGAAAGAAGGAGCAGCAAACCACACCAGAGCACCCGCCAACCACCCACCTGCAAAGACAGAAATTGTAGAACTTAAAGTTAAAGAAAGCAACTGTACAAAATAATTGTAATTTTAACCCTATTCGTTCGTCGTGTTTTACTATCGTATCCATACGACATGGGGAACTCTGTGCCACCCCTTTCCAAAGAGGAAATTTACCCGTTAATCCGATCCGTACGCTTTGCACAGTAGTCTGTCAAAATGATTTTTAGAGAAATACTGACAGTTTCAAAGAGATCTTCGCAATAGGAGTATTTTAAAATGTGAAGAATACGACCCATGGGGGGGGGGGGGTACAAAATGACCCCAGGGCATACAGATAGGGTTAAGGGCTTCTTGTCCCCATCCACACACTCTACCCTATTCAGGAGCCAGGCTGCTTCTACCTTACCTGATACAGCATCCCGGCACATAGAGAAGGAGATACTTGATTTAAAAAAACTCCGCCCCCTCTCCGGAATTGAATCTATGCCCTCTACCTACAACATATGAGAGCCTAAGTACGACATCACGAACGCAGGTGAAAAAACGTAGATACATATGATCGGTAAATTGAAGTAACAAAGTAAGACTGAGGGGAATTGAATCTATGCCCTTTACCTACAACAGAAGAGAGCTAAGTACGACATAAAAAACCCAGGTGAAAAAAAACGTAGATATTATCGGTAAATTGAAGAAACAAAGTAAGACTGAGGTCACATACACTGCCTAAAAGTACTATGGTTGGAACTCTCTAAGATAGCCATCCTTTGTCGAGGGGAAAAGAGGCCATATCATCAGACAGGTGGCCATCTTACGAAATGTCTTTATGTGGTAAAATATAGGCAAGGAAGGAAACAGGAAGTGGCCGCTGGTCCAAGTGACGGTCTTCTACAGGTGGCTGTCAGAGCAGGTCTGACTGTACACCATTTCAGTCACCAGGAGCATAATAATAATAATAAATAGCATTTATACTGCGCATTTCCATTTTCTTAAAAAATGCTCAATGCGCATTACATCGAAAAAGACATCACATCTTAAAAATTAATCGAAATACATGTACATAAAACAAAGTTTTATGCATATACATATGTATATGTGTAAAAATTTCTATGAGAAAAACCGCCTCGCAGTGAGGTTGGAAATGCGTTCACTAAAAATATACAATGCAATAAAAATTCACGAACCGTCACCCGTGAGTGACTAGAAACATTCATTAAAACATTCGTTCTCTACAGATAGAAAAACAAATGCACCAAAGCACGGAAGCCCCAGTTCATCTTTAGTCATTTCTCCTTATTCTATTCCAGCAACTTTCTAATACCATGAGTACAGAACAAGGGGCGCTTCCCCTTGACATCCTCAGGATACCCGAGGTTGGAAAAAGTACCAAGTAAAAAGTAAGAACAAGGATGTGGGAACCTCAAAACCTGCAAATTTTATTTGATGCCAAAATGACGTTATGAGCTAAAAAAGAAACAGCAAGGCAGCTGACAGAATGGCAAATATTTAACTCTTTAAACCCTGAGTTTTTTCCACAATTTCCCAGAGTTTTTTTCTACAGTCACCTACACCTGGTGCACTATGTATCATTAGAACCCCAAAGGCTTGCCTCCAACTTCTACATTGCCAAAACAAAGGCTTTAATCATTACTAAAAAACTTAGATAGGGAATAGTTCCGAAGAACAAGAAGAAACTAGCATTTAATGAAATGCAGCAGTTGTCACTAGTATCGGACGCTCCAGGCTGGACGCTCCAGCTTCCGATGGGGTTTAATGAGTTAAGAAAGAAAAATATTGAGGTCTCACAGTCGAACCCTTAACTCACCCATAATCTGTTCAGAGTGGGTGGTTGGCTGGTGCTCTGGTGTGGTTTGCCCTTTCTTTCATTTCAAACTATTCAAACATCTACCACCCTTATCTCTACTCCTTTCCTTTATTCTTCGTATATTACTAACACTTCTAATCTTCAGCATTTACAAGACCTAATTTTGTTGCGAGTGTAAAAAGCATTGATCGGAAATCTGTTCAGAAATTAAGTGGAGTGTGAAACAAAAACCCTCCAAAGACAAAGGACAATCAAGCTCTTTTGGCATGCAGCCAAACATGGGACAAGCTGAATCAATAAGATTGTTATCAAAGGTTTAAAAAAAACCCAACAGCTTGGGTTACTAATGACCACCAGATCATGTTTCAGTTCTGAGTATAAAGTCTTGTCGCTCAAGTTGGATCAATGTCTATACAAATAAAAAAATTACAACAATTGGATACTTAATAGTAATAGATAGCATTTGTATAGTGCAAATCCCCGCTCAACAGCAGGCTCTATGCCCTTCACAATCTATACTATTACCCCAGCAGACCTGAGAGCTATGGGAAAAGAAGGTCAGGTTCCATCACACCGAAAAAAACACCAACCCCCACCCCCTGCGGCCATCTTGGACAATTTCAATGACAGGCGTATATATAGAACACTAAAAAATTCCAGTCCTACCAGACATCCTCGGTGAGGGAGTCGTTGACGAAGGTCCAGGGTCGAGTCTTGTAGATCCCTTCCCCGTTCACCCCGAGCCACTCCCCCATCTGCCTCAGCCGCTCCTCAAAGATGGGGATGATCACGCCGTCTTTGGTCGGGCCCACGTTGATTAGCAGGTTACCTCCGCAGCTGGGGAACAAAAGATATAGTAGAGGTTTAGTTTTTGGTTTTAGTAGAGGTTTAGTTTTTAGTTTTAGTTTTAGTAGAGGTTTAGTTTTTAGTTTTAGTTTTAGTAGAGGTTTAGTTTTTAGTTTTAGTTTTTAGTTTTAGTAGAGTTTTAGTTTTTGGTTTTAGTTTTAGTTTTAGTTTTAGTAGAGGTTTAGCTTTTAGTTTTAGTAGAGGTTTAGCTTTTAGTTTTAGTAGAGGTTTAGTTTTTGGTTTTAGTTTTTAGTTTTAGTAGAGTTTTAGTTTTTGGTTTTAGTAGAGTTTTAGTTTTTGGTTTTAGTAGAGGTTTAGTTTTTGGTTTTAGTTTTTATTGTTTTAGTAGAGGTTTAGCTTTTAGTTTTAGTAGAGGGCTGTACGGCGTTCGCAACTGGACAAGGTCATATGAGCGCCAAGGGGTGGATGTAAACAGAGAAGTCCTTACAGGGAATCAAACTTACTGTGCTCACCTCTCTAGCTTCAACAGCACAAGGTCTGCTTCAACTATCAATGCACCCCAGAAATAGCAGGTCGCAAGAGTGTGACAAACATACAAAAGAAGTAGAGGAAAATGACAATAGTAAGGATTAGGAAAGAAAAAGCAGCAGTTCCCTGTTGTAGATCAGGCACAGTTATGAGCGTGACATGAATCAGCCCATTTACAATTCTACTGTGCTTGAACGAGAAATGTCTCCCCTTTGGGAATAGCCTAAGACACTTCAGTCAGTGGCACTGCCCCGTGGGGACAGATGTTTGTTTTAGTAAGAGTTTTATGGCACTTGCAACACAATAAGGTCACATAAGTGCCGAAGATTAGAGGTGTTACAAGAGAGAAACAAACACAAAAAAAGGAGGGGAGATAAAGACGATACATGCTTGTCAGAGAAAAGAAGAATCAAGCCACACCAGATCACCCGCCAACCACCCACCGATAGATGTCTGATAGAGGAAAGAAGGAGCAAACCACACCAGAGCACCCACCAACCACCCACCCACAAAAGGCCTCACCTGACAATCTCAGCGATGGTCGCGACGACCTGCTCCATGGAGTGCACGTCGCTCAGACGCATGTTACGTCGGTGAGTCCAGGCATACTTGTCCATGGTGGTAGAATCCTCAAACTTACGGTTCTGCTTCTTCTCTGAAAGGTTATTTTTAAGATGATTTAAAAATAAGACAGGACAAGATAAGATAAGATAGGACAAGATAAGATAAGATAAGACACGGTAAAATAAGATAAAGTAAGGTAAGATATAAGATAAGATAATACAAGGAAAGACAAGGTAAGATAAGATAGGATATCAGATAAGATATAAGATAACATAGGATAAGACAAGGTAAGAAAAGGTAAGACATGGTTAAGACATAAGATATAAGATAGGATAAGATTGCCGCGGTGAGTCCAGGCATACTTGTCCATGGTGGTGGAATCCTCAAACTTACGGTTCTGCTTCGTCTCTGAAAGGTTATTTCTAAGATAATCAAAAGACATGATAAGACGAGATAAGGCAAGATATAAGATAGGATAAGATAGGATAAGACAAGGTAAGACAAGGTAAAATATAGGATAAGATAAGACATGGTAAGATAAGATAACATAACATAAGATATAAGATAGGATAAGACAAGGAAGATAAGATAGATAAGATATAAGATAGGATAAGACAAGGAAGATAAGATAGATAAGATATAAGATAGGATAAGACAAGGAAGATAAGATAGATAA